CAACGGCTATATAGCCGTTTGGGTGGTCCCCAGCCCCACCCCCACCCCCAACGGCTAGTAGGAGCCCAAACCATTTTTTTTTAAATTGAACCGGACCCGGGCCCGGGCCCGACCCGGCCGGGCCGGGTCACAATAATGCTGAACCGAGCCCGCCCCGCCCCTTCCCACCGGTTCGGGCCCATACCCGGTCCCGGACCGCCCGACCGGGCCGGTCCCGGGCCCGCACAGTACCGGGCCGGGCCGGGTCACGGGCCGGGTGGCCCGAACCGAATCCATCCCTACCGCGAGGTGAGGGGGGGGGGGGGGGGGGGGGGATACGGTAGATACTATTTTAGGTTAGCTTGCTAGCTTAGATAGTTTTGATGCATTGTACATGCTATTTTTTTTGGATCTATATACTTACATTTTATCCAAAAAAAAAAGACATTCTTCCTCATTGTGTCCCTTTTGGTAACAATAAGTACATTTCTTTCCCACAGCAGCAGCATAACCATAGTACTCATCATCTTCACTTTTGGTTCTTTTCCAATTGTCTTCTCTTCTTTGTTCATCATTTCTTTTGTTATTTATTCCTTCTGTTGAAAGAGAAGCATAAGCATTTGCTTCTGTAAGAACATCCAATGCATCAGTAATCTGTTTTTGCCTTTCAATTTTCTGCAGAAGTGATAAAGCTTTATTCATCTGTGGAAGTGGATCCATGGTCAAAATAGTACTCTTCACATTCTCATATCCAGAATTGAGTCCCATTAACAACTGAATGAGTTTTGAGTGATTCTCCTTATCCAGAATACGTTTCAGTAACTGACATGTGCAAAGACTGAGTGCTCCACAAGTACAGTCTGGTACAAGATCTAGGCTATCAACATCCTCCCATTTCCTTTTCAGATTATTGTAATAATGAATCAACGGTTGATTTTCTTGTGTAAGATTACTTATCTCTTTCTTAATCTGATAAATCTCCAATCCATTAGTTTGACCATATCTTTCTGTAATTTCTGACCATAGTTCCTTAGATGTGTTAGAATACATCAAGTTTTCTTTTATGACTTTATCCATTGAATTAAGCAACCATTTCATAACCATTAGGTCACAACGAAGCCATTGATGATACCTTTTGTCTTTCTTGTCAGGTGCAGAACATTTGCCATCAAGAAATCCAGATTTATTCTTCGATGCCAAAGCCATAGTGACATCACGTTTCCATGAGAGAAAGTTTGATCCATCAAACAGATTATCTACAAGCTTCAGATTAGGTTGATCCGAGGAAGAAAGGAAGAGCGAATCATCAAAGAAATCATAATTCTGAGAATTATGAGTTGTATGTGACTCAGAATCCGTAGTTTCTGGCATTGTCAGAAAATGAAGATCGAAACTAGAAATTCAGATTATCGATGAAGATCGAAGAGAAGAGAAGTTCCGATAACTTGAAATTGACGTTATCGGTGAGAAACATGTGATATGTATTGGATCGTTTATTGATACTGTGGCTCTGATACCATATGAAAATAACTAATCTCCATTGAAGGGCATATTACAGCTCATCAACAATGGAGGTTGAAGAACAAGAAGGAAGATATTCCAGAAAGATGAAAATAGAGAATCCATAGAAAGACAGTTCACCAAGTGTATCATTACAAGTGTTCAGACTTAATATATATTTACAAATTAAGTCAACTATCTAACTGTATACAACTGATTATCTAACATACTGCCACGTCAGCTCTTCAGTATGAATGCAACTTGATTAGTTCCACAAACGGGAAAGAGAAAGAACGAGGAAAAGGAGAAAGAAAAAAGGAAAGGAAAAAGAGGGAAAAGGTGACTTGGCCGCCACATATCCGCCGTGTCAGTCTATCTGTGCGCTGCGTCAGCAGGTAACCTGCTGACCGGATGGAAACCTGCTAAAAATCATATTTGACGAAAAATCCATAGTACGAGGGAATAATTGATCAAAGTTAAAGTATGAGGGTAAAATTGACTCTCCGTACATACTAGAAGGCCAATTTGACACTTTTCTCTTTTGTTTTTCAAATTCTTTGGGAGGTAAATGGATTGGGTTGTGTGTTTTGGAGGGGTTTGGGGGGTGGGGGTAGGATTTATTTTGAAAAGTAGAAAAAAAATGTTACCCGACCCGACCCGACCCGCCGGGGCCCGGTGTAAGGCCGGGCCGGTTCCGGGCCTTAACCCTCACTTAAAAAGCCCGATTTGGACCGACCCGGAATTCGGCTTGGCCCGGAACCGGTCCATGCCTATGCGTAAATTATGTTTATAGACATTATAAAGAGTTACATTTGATAGTATATGAAGTTACATCTTCTTATGTGGGAGTGACATCTGCTTGTGTGCGAGTAACATTTTTATGTGCGTGTGTTATATTTTTCTATGCGCGAGTTATATTTGGGTTTGCATCAATAAGTTATATTTTGTATACACCTAAGTTGGATTTTCCATCAACGCGAGTTACATTTTACATAACACGAATTACATGATAACATAAAGCCCTACTATTGAAACAAAATAATCATTGTTTTGACAACTAAAATGATTTTTTGGCAAAAAAAGATTAAAAAAACATTTTTATGGCCTTAATATTAAAAACATATTCACTGTTTACGTAAAGTAATTGAACAACTAGACTCCTTGTTTTCATTAGAATCAATGTGTTATTTTTTATAATCCGTAATAGACAAGTTACATTTCGACTTGCTTGTAGTTACATTTTCATCGATGTGAGTTACATATTTTTAAATGCGAGTTACATCATTCTGCAATTGAGATAATGAAAAACTAAAAAAGAAGTTACTATTCATGGACGTGAACAATAACATTCGTTTTTTGGTTGTTGGAGCGACATGCTCACCATGGGCCGCTCCCACTATATACCATCTATATCAAAATAGGTGGAGTTGAGAGTGGGGCTAAAATCCTTCCATATCTATGCACATATAAATGGAAGATTTATGAATACCAATTTTTCCAAAATAAAACCCCCTTCTCTCTCCAAACAAATTTTATTCTTGTATATTTCATTTTTCTAATATAAACTTCTATTTTTTTTTTTGAAAAAAAATTGTTAGTTCATACTTGTTGCCCTTTTATGTAAGTTTGACCACACAATTTCAATTTTCTAAATCTTCTTCTCAAATCAAAACTGAAATATTAGAGTACAGTGTTCATTTACACAAAACATCCCAGTATCTGATATTCTAGCACACTCGTAGCCATATCCAGACGGATACAAGTATCTTTTTTAAGAAGTAAACAAAAACAAAAACAATAAAATTAGTTTATGGCAATGGGTCTCATGAGTTTGCGATATAATCATATATTAGCTTAAAATTATCGATTAAAGGAAGATATTTTTATCAATTTGAAATTTATTTATATCATAACTTAATTACAACTACAAATATACAATGTTAATTTGTGTGTTTAATTTTCATTACAATATACATATATTTCCAATATAAAACCTTAAAATTCTTGCTGCCTTTACTCCAAAATAGACTTCATTTTTTTGTCAACCATTCTGTTATGAATTTTTTTCTCTTTATAGCAAATAGTATGAGTTGCATATTATTTCAGTCTCTTAATAGTGATTTAGTTTGGGACAAAATTAAATGAGTAATACTTCCTCTGCTATAAAAGGTTTGTCAATTTAACTTTTTTGGTCAATGACAATCAACTTTGACCAATGATTTGTTCTAACAAAAAAATATATATTTTGAATATGAAAGTTATATCAAAACGTTCCTTATTCAAAATATGAAAAAATCATATTTTTTGCAGAGGAAGCAATGTATTATTCAAATATATAACAACTTTGACCACTGAATAAAACGTTTATATATCAAAATATATTATTGATGTTTATTCCTAGAGGTCTGATGGCCAAACACAGTCTTTTGGCTTTCGTAGGAGTTACTTCGTTATAGGTTGATTTAATGAGTGTTTAAGGCAAGAAAGTAGCAAGAACAAGGCAAAATACACCCAGTTCTATTGAAGTCTTTTAGAACAATTACAACACCATATAGAGCGAGTGCTCCGACCACCTAGAATTATTAATAGCATCATGTATTTTATACGTAGTAGTAGTAAGCATTAGGTAGCATATATAGCATTACATGCAATTATGGGCTAGGGATATTTAATAATAATTTAAAAGGTATGCTGATAATTTTGTTAATTTAAATGTAAACACTTCTATTACTAACACTCCTTACTCTTACCTTCCTTTCTGGACCCTGACAATACTTACTGACACTTCCATTACTAACGCCCCGATACTTGTGTTTCTAATTAGGTTGATATGGGGATTGTCCCATTATGTTCTTGTGATGCATAATATTTAGGTTAGAGTACTCTAGCTTAGATAGCCATTCTGATATGGTTTGACACATAGTAAAATGTTATTTTTGGGTATTTTTAATATATTTACATTTCATCCAAAAAAGTTGAGGAAATTTGCAGGAAGAATCAAACCATTAACTTTAGCCACCAGTGAGCCATCACCGTTTTTCTTTAACAAACTTCAGGTTTCTAAAACCTCATATCTGTTAAAATTTCTTCATCGGTTTCATCCGTCTCTTTAGTTTTGTATTATCTACCAGTGACCGTTGAAATGAGTATCAATTTTTTTTAAAAAAATATTTTGAAAAATTCTTGGTATAGAAAACATTTATGTTCATATTTTAAAATTCTTTTATTAGGCATATGAAATTATATTTCAGAACAAGCAATGTAAACAAATAATATACCTTCAACACTTGTTCTAGACAGAAGGGTTATTTGGTCAACATAATTCAGATTTCTCATTAAGCACACATAATAAACAAATTGTTATTTGAGTATCACTTAATCCATAAAGACGTGTTAATCCATTGAGGACTTGAAAAAAGAGAGTAAAGAACCCTTACTCTCTTCACGGTAACAACCCAAAATGAAAGGGAAAATCAGCCATAAAGGTAAAAAGCACAACCTCTCACCCGAACAGAGCAATGAGCATATGTAGTATACTAGTATGTACCCTCTTCGAAGAAACAGTAACCGCAACCGGCGCCGGGGAACGTAGAAAAAACATCGGCAAAACGAATACGCCGGACCACGACAAGAAAGAAAAACAGAGTACCAACCAGAGTTACTTGAAAGACGAACAGAGACGAGAGAAAAGACCTTCTCCGATCCGGTGAAGAAGGCAATCGATCAACTCAGCCATCCCTTGCACAGGCATTCGCTCATCCCAATCACAGCGTCGCCCATGCCCGTCGTTTTCCACAGAATCCGCCGCTAGGGTTTACATCGTGTTTTTTGTCACTATTATTGAGGAGCGTTGAGCAAAATATAGTGAAGAGCTGTGCACCTGTGCTTATTCTGTACCGTGCAGGTTTTCAGCTTCCACCCAATGAGTAATCTCTTAGCATTCTACTCCTCAATCTCCACTCCTGTCTTCCTCAATGTAGAATTGCCACCCATCTCTCCCCCCATTACTTCATTCCATTCTTCTTCTCCCAAGAAACCTACAGGAACCTCTGCCACCATCTCCACAACCAGTAATTGCAGTTTTTACTCTTCTATTTTTGTGAGTGTTTTTAATAATCGTAAGAGTGAACCTAATATCTACTTTTTCCTGGAATAATTTTTGTGCAGAGATTTTGGCGAGCAGTGTTTCTCCTCCAAAGGTAGAGGAGGAAGAAGATGATGTTGAAATTGCAAAAGGGTACACTATGACCAAATTCTGCGACAAGATTATTGACATGTTCTTGAACGAGAAACCCAAATCCAAAGACTGGAAAAAATACTTGGTGTTCCGCGAGGAGTGGAAAAAATACAGTGGCAAATTTTACTCCAGATGTCAAACCCGATCAGATTCCGTAAATGACCCTGCAATCAAAGAAAAGTTTACTGCATTGGCAAGAAAAGTTAAGAAGGTATCCATGTATGTGTCTTTCTTCCTAGCACATTTTGCTTGTTGGTGTATATTCGTTCTATTGAGTGGGTATTGCAGATTGATGAAGAAATGGAGAGGCAGGAGGAGCTTCTCAAAGAGTTACAGGATAGTCCCAGGGACATCAATGTAATTGTTACCAAGAGGCGTAAAGACTTCTCTGGTGAATTCTTTCGCTACCTGACTTTGCTGTCTGAAACTTATCATAGCTTGGAGGACAAAGATGGTAATTAAGCTTATATTTGTGTTTCTGGTGCCATGTGATGTCTCAATTACATGCATACTCCCTCCACCCCCTACAATTGTCCCATTTTTCCATTTTTGGATGTCCCACTATTATTGTCACATACCATATTTGGTAACATTTGTGTGATTCCAATTCATTCTTACTTTATTCCCACTTTATCAACTCATTCTCAACCAGGTAATTCTACTTTTCTTACAAATCACAACACTCCCTTTCGTCCCAATATTAGGGGGGACGGAGGTAGTATTTTTTTATTCAAATTCATTCTTGTGCTGATGATATGGTCACTATCAGTCCATCACTCGATTTGGTTATTTACTCTCTTTTGACCTAATTTAACATTTCGGCCTGAATTTTGTCCTCATCCATGTTTATCTCTAACTAAAAAGTTTTTTGTACACATGACATCATTTGAGACCATACTGAGTCCTAGTTAGAGACTAGTTTTAGTGAAGACTTGCATGTTCTTCCCTTTTAGAAACTCGAGGACTAAATTGGGTAATATTGTTTGGTTTAAGATTGAGTGATAATGGGATTATATTATTGTCAATTTTGAATGCTATGTTGGGATTATCAAAGCCAGACTAGTATAAACGAGTTTTTTTTCATTGGCTTTGATTCAACGTGACTAAAAATTAAAATAAGTTTTCGAATTAAAAACTTATTTATAATATTTAGATGCAAATTGGTATCAGTTAAGGTAATGCGGGTGGTAATTGTTGTAAACCCATGAAACCTGAGCAGCAATGGCAAGACTTGGAGCAAAATGCCTAAATGCAGTGAGTGCTTATGATAACACCCTGGAGATTGTGGAGACACTCGACACTGCACAAAAGAAATTTGATGACATCCTTAACTCTCCTTCACTCGACGCAGCTTGTGAGAAGATTAAAAGCCTTGCGAAGACGAAAGAACTCGAGTCTTCATTGACTCTGTTGATAAATGCTGCTTGGGCTTCTGCTAAAGACTCCACTACCCTGGGAAATGAGGTATAGTAAAAAGCTGTATTCTTTAAACTCAAGGAAAAAGTTGTGCTCTTTTCATTGATTGAGTTGTATCATACAAGTATATGTTAGTGATGATAGTTTTCAAGTGCCATATTTCTGGCACTATGTATGGCTTTCATTAAATTTCAAAGTACCTAGAGTCCATAACTGTTGAAGAATTTATCTTACATTTGTTAAATACGTAGTATAGAGTATCCTTAGTGATGATGTCTGCCCCTATCAAAAAATGAAAAATGTGGTCCATATGTGCATTTTGAAAAACCATCACTGTAGCCTGTAAGGGTGTGATGGGTGGGGGTGTGGTTCTATGAGATGAAAAGTAAAATTGCAAGGTATGTCCAGCTGTGCGGGTTAGATGGCGATCCGTGATCTTTTATTAAAAATCCCAAATTATTAACAATAAAACATCCATATGGGACAAGTTAAGTATTGTTAAAAGTGCCCCTAATAAATGAAGATTATTAGGGGCCCTAATAAATGAAGATTTAATCATGTGCTTGACTTAAGGTGCATTCCCATAACAATTGACGATCTACAAAAGTTGCTCTATACAATTAACATTTTAGCCCACAGTGCCACACTACTTTTTCATTTTACACCTATGTAAAAGTACTTGGGCTTCAAAGGCACAGCAATCCAAAATTAAGCCTTAAAGGATGATGCAAGTGCAGGCAAAGGATATAATGTATCAGCTGTACAAGACCACCCAGAGTAGTCTAAGGACTATGGCACCAAAAGAAATCAAACTACTGAAGCATCTACTCAACATTATCGATCCAGAAGAAAGGTTTTCTGCACTGGCAACTGCTTTTTGTCCCGGCACTGACAGTGAAGCCAAAGATCCAACTGCTGTATACACGTAAGCGAGCTTAATGGCTCTGTTTATATATACAGACACACATACAGAGAGAATGCATTCTTTTCCTGCAATTTAACATATTTTAGCATTTTATTTGGTTTGAACAGAACTCCCAAGGAGCTGCACAAATGGATAAAAATCATGCTAGATGCTTATAACCTAAATAAAAATGACACTGAAATCAGGGAAGCAAAAGAGATGAACCAACCTGTTGTTATGCAGAGGCTTTTCATACTCAAGGAAATTATTGAAGAGGAATACTTGGAGCGAGAAGCTGATAAAGAAAACAAGTTAAAACCAGAAGAAGAGATGTCATATGTTGATTAAGGACGCAGTTTGTGTGATTCTCTGAGCTTTCAACATTTTCTAGGCATTTGCTAATTTTTAGTATTATTATTCAGGACCTCATGTTTTTTTGTTATTTTATTTAAGGACATCTCATGTCAAAATTTTGTTGACTAGGCTACTTCTTTTAAGGGCTCATATGTACATTTCCCATCAATTTCTCATTCTAAGCATATTTGATACGTAGTGTATCACCATATGTACATTCCTCATACAATTCGGGGGGGGGGGGGGGGGGGGGGGGGGGGGTCTGCAAGTTAATATGGTCCCATACTCCCATGCATCTCTCATTCTCTTCAATTACATTCATGATCTTGGTATGTTATTCTAAACTATTTTGGATTACAAATTGGACTTGATATTTTGATGATAAAAAATAGTGTGAACTTACTCCGGATTATAGTATAGGGGTAGACTGGGCCGGGCTCCGGACCGGGACCGGGTCGGGCCGGGCTGCCTGGACGGGCTTCGGGGCAGGATTGGGTTGGGCCTAACAATTCCAAGCCCATTTTTTTGGAATTCTTGACCTTTAGGCCCGGCCGATTCACTCCATTAAAATCAAAGCCCGATACTGCTTGCTTCTTCATCCAGGTCAGGCCCCAGGATTGGTCCTGTTCAATCGGGTCGGGCCGGGTTCCGTGTCGGGGCAACCCGTCCTAGTCCACCCCTAATTCTGAATACATCTCGATTATCAAAGCACTTATTGTACTTCGCCCCATCAAACGTACAACTCTGCGCCAACCAAGGTAGTACGAGTGTACGACTATCAGCTTTGTCCAAATACTATTAATACCGGGTCCGACTCATCCAAAATCAACAGAACACAGTCAGCAAGAAATAAAAAAATTCTTCGCTCACTGGAAAACGGTTGTTTATTTAACAATCGGGCTGTTGTACTCCGGTTACTTTCCGGCGAACCCCATTTCCCGTCATGCTCTTGGGTAAACTACGTCTAGTTCATTTCTTTCTTCTATGCACTTGCTTATTTTCAATGATCTTTTTAATCTACTACGTATAACGTATAAACTTAATTAGCTGTGCAAAATTGCGAATATAGCCTGTAATTTGCTTTATTGTGCTGATAGAAACACAAACATAGAAATCAACACTGAATAAGTTGCCGTATAAAAAAATACACTGAATAAGTTGCCCAATCATTTTCATAGTAGCTAAGATTGTGGCAAGACGCCGATAATAATGGAGTTGGTGGGAATTGTTTGTTTTCGTTCCTTCACTAATCACTATCACTGTTTTTCCTAGCTCTTGTTTTTTACTTTGTAATAAACTGATAATAATTGAACTTTAGGGCAGTTGAAAGAAATCAATGGAGATGGAGTGGATGGAGGCACAGAACATTGTGATAAGCGTAGACCTTGTGGCTGCAGCCAAGCAACAACTTGATTTTCTCGCCTCAATTGATCGAAACCGCTGGTTGTATGAAGGCCCTGCTCTTCTTGAGGCCATCAACAGGTAGGCATAGTTATTGTCAAATCTCTTAAATAAGAGAGGTTTTGGGATGCTTAGTTAAGTATAGCTGCTCTATTTCCTGTGTTACCATGGCCTTGTATTGTTGTAGCTCATTTGGAACGTTATTTTGAATCCAATAATAGTCTATAATTTGATGAGAAGACTTGGGCCGTTGGTATAACTTACAAGGATCGTTATGTTTTTTAGATGTTACTCTATAAATTGATTAACCTGATTTCAGGTATAATTCATGTTGGCTTCCATTGCTGGCAAAACATTCTAAGACCCCCTTCTTTAAAGGACCACTTGTTGTTCCTCTTGATTGTGAATGGGTCTGGCACTGTCACAGGCTCAACCCTGTATGTTTCTCAACTTAAGTACTCCCTCCGGTTCCAAAAGATCTTGACACTTTGACTTCATAGTTTTAAGGAAATAAACACTGTTTGACACTGTTTTGTGTAGACTTATTTGCCAAATAAGTCAAATAAGGAAGTGTAAAGATCTTTCTGGTACTGCTAAAAATGGAAAGTGTAAAGATCTTTCAGAATCGGAGGGAGTATATTTCAAATTTAGATCTGTTTTTAACTTATGATTTTTTCACATTTGGATGTTCCTTGCCACTCTTTGTTTGCAGGTCCGGTATAACTCCGACTGCAAGTCACTATATGGAACAGTTCTTGACAACCATAATGTGGTGTCTTCTGTTATAGGAACGCCTAAAGGGGAAACTGAACAAGTGTGGAAACAATTGTATCCAACTGAACCATATGAGTTGGAATTAGCCAGAGCTCTTTCAGGTGAACCTTCAAAAAGGTCTGAGCACGTAAAGTACAGCAGCTATGACTTGGTTTCAGCCGTGAAAAGGCAAAGTCCATTTTTCTACCAGGTAACTCCACAGATAGTTTCACTTCCTTAAGGTGCAGTGACGTAGTCTACTTCAAAGTTTTATGCATATCACAGCTTTCCTCAACATTGAATTAGATAATGTTTCCGCATGCCTTAATCTGGATGATCTTTTCAGTCAGTTCAGATGAAAATTGTTATAGTTCAGATGAAGTTTTAGAACTAATAATGTGTACTTTTATGGATGACTTTCTAATTATGTTTATTTTCTTTCCTAAATTATGATTGTTGTCTCTTTGGTGTGTTTGCACTCCAAGAGACTGTTAAGCAGTGCTACTTTTGTCAAGCAATAAGTTTTCTCCTAGTCTAACATTCTTGAGGCTATATTTGTCTATATATCTTTTTATCGCATATCCTTGTTACGTTACAGGTCTCAAGACCACATATGTACAGTGAGATGTATCTAGTAGCAGCCACAGCTAGATACAAAGGATTCTTGCATTTAATTAGAAGAAACAAAGAAAGATCCATTAGATGCTTCTGTGTTCCAACTTATGACATTGATCTGATATGGCACACTCATCAATTACATCCTGTTTCTTACTGCAAAGACCTTTTGAAATTACTTGGCAAGGTTTTGGAACATGATGATACAGATTCGGACAGAACAAAAGGGAATAAGCTTGAAACAGGGTTCTCTAACACCACCAAGCATTGGGAAGAAACATATGGTTGCAGATATTGGAGGGCCGGCGCAATGTACCGAGGCCATGAACCATTACCTCTTCCAATATATCATAATGACAATCCGAACACTGTAAAGAAGAAGGTAGTTTTGGTCCATAAGCATGACAAACTATTACATTTACCGGAAAGAAAGGTTCTTGAGGTATCTTATTCTACTCCTTTCCTTAATTTTCCTTTTTCATTGATGAAAAGCTTAAGCGTATATCATCTCAAGTCTATTTTTGAGAAAGATGGAATATGTGATGGGTTTAATGCAAATCATACCTCTAAATAAAAAAAAGGCATGCTTGACCCAAATAGAGCTTTTTAGTTTTGTCTACTTTTTATGAACAATCACTTACACCTGAAATTTTCATTTACTGTATTAACCCTGCCACTCTGTCTGTAATCTACTGCTGTACACTTGACACTCTCAGTACTTCATTTTCATTTGTCTAGTTGTTTGAGAACATTTTGGTACTAGGTCAAAGTTAAAATTGACCTTTAAAGTCAAACTCACATTTGGGAAAAATAAGAGTTTGGAACCAGACTCTTCCCCTTTTCTGTAAGGAGGGGGTACAACTGTACAATACTCCTGGCCTTTAACAACAATGAACTAATGCTTTGTATGATTTTGTGATTTGCTGTGATCCTCATTAATATCATCCAGGTAATGTTGGAGTTTGTGGGTTTACGAAATGTACCTGAGGAGCATAAAGGGAGGCTCTTTGTCTCTTTCAGTAAAGAACAGCCTGATCCAATCTTCAGTGCGAAGAAAAGACTTGATATATTTTCTGAGAGTGCAGAAAAGCAGGTTGCTTGCTTTCAATGTCAAGCTAGTGGAAAATTTCTCTTTGAACTAAAGAGTCAGTCATCCTCTCATCTTCCATTATCAAAACCTCAAGTCAAAACCATGGGTTTTGCTTCTTTGTCTCTGGAAGAGTTGTTATCCCCAACCTCGAATCTCTCTGTGGAGAAATGGCTTGAATTGGTTCCAAATTCTAAGATGCAAATGCCAAAGACGGTCTTTTTAAGAGTTGCAATCTCAGTTACAATACCAACCAAAGCACCATATGTGCTTCACATGATCCGTTCTCGACCCTTTTCGAAAAGTTCTTGCCTTTTCCCTCTCCCTGGGACTGGTCAAAATTGGACAAGCCTCATAGATGAAGATGGCAATGAGATCATCTACCTGCAAATGAGGTACTTGTGGTTTTGAAATGTGTGGAAGTATAATGACATTATCTAACACTGGAATGCTGAGGCAAACTTTTGCACCATTAAATTCTCAGAAGTGTTTGATATTCTGCATTTCTGCTAATATGGTTTTATCACAGGGATTTCAGTAAACCCAAGGGAATGTCAGATTCTATGTTGATGCATGAAGTCGTCGCTGTAACAAAATCTGGCGAAACACAAACTCTTGCTAAATTGCAAGGGAGGGAATGGTCACTGATAGATTCTGAGTGGTCAATTTGTTTCCACAAAAACAGAGATGACGATGGTTGCATTTTGAAGTTGACTGATGGTTTGCGAATTGTGAGCATTTGCGTCTTTAATTTGTTTCTAGACTTTTTTAAAAAGAGCTTTCCTTGTTTACATAATCTTGAAACATCAATATCCAATCTGGAAACAGATTGCGTATTTTGCGGGTCGGAAGCTGGATTACCAGCCCAGGCATCATGAAAAGCAAAGAAGTGAAAACGAATTTATGACTGCAGTAGAGTTCTCTGCTGAAAACCCATATGGCAAGACAGTGGCAATGGTCGACTTGAAATTTGGCATTATCAATGTATATACATTTGCTGGTTTCATATGATTTTGTTTTTGGGGTCGAATATGTAGTTACTATAGCTTAACTTTTTTTGTTTGTTGACAAATCAATAGGTGAAAGAGGAGTGGTTACTTTTTCCTGGAACAATAACTGCTTTTATACTTTGTGACATCTCAAGGAAGGAAGGTTATGATAGATTTTCAGCAGGTGGCAAAAGTTTGAAGAATAATGGCTCAAACAATGGAGTTGCATATGATAAAGACTCAGGTTTGAACACTCAGGTTGCCAAAGACAAGGTGGCTATTCCGTCAGGAGGAGGCTGTGGTGGTGCATGTGGAAGTATGATAAAGAGCAGTGGGTGTGCAGCTGGAGGCTGTGGTGGTGCATGTGGTAGTATGATGAAGAGCAGTGGGCATGCAGCCGGAGGCTGTGGTGGTGGTTGTGGAGGGTGTGGATCTAATCTCCAAAGTGGTGGCTGTGGTGGTTGTGGAACTGGTGGTTGTGGAGGGTGTGGATCTAATCTGCTAAGTGGTGGCTGTGGTGGTTGTGGAAGCGGAGGTTGTGGAGGTTGTGGTGGTGGTTGTGGGTCTATGACCACCATAATCAGGACACAATAGAAGTAACCAAGATTGTATTATGCATGGCCTGCTTTCGTTCATCAGAAGTGGTGGGGTACCCTCTCAGGCTTTTGTTGTATTTATATTTATACGAGTATGTTGTTTGGAAATAATGAAGTGTTTCATTTCATCAATTCATCCCCAATGAACTGGTGGGATACCCACTTAGGGTTCTAGTGTTTCAATATGTGATTTTCCGTCATATGTCTTTATCTGTGTGTTGATATGTCATCTTGCTAAGAAGTACTACAAAATACGTGGTATGAAATAATCACACCGGTGGGCATAGCTCAACCGGTAGATAGGGGATGCCACAAAGGGTAAGTCTCAGGTTCAAATTCTGACAACAGCGATGAGAACTTGTGATTAAAGTCCAATTTACATCCTCTCATCTAACTATCCGGTCGGTGTTGGTGGCCCCTTAGGAATGGAGTGTATCTTTTTATGAAATAATCACATTCTCGTACCATGGTATACGGCATACGATCCTAATCAGTTTTTCATTCATGATCTCTTTTCTCCTTTACATAATCCTGCAGGCTCATTTATATTCATGTCCATGGCTCATTAATCATTATGAGATCCCACTCGATTGTGGAGTATGTTCGTTCTTTTTATCGTTATTATTACTATAAGAAGCTTAAAAAAAGTCAAAGTGCACTACATTTAGGGGAGAGCGTCGGACGGGTTCGGGTAGGACGGGTGAAGATTTGGCATACGGCATACTCGGTCTGTTTTCGGGTTAGGAATTTAAAACCCTACCCTGTTCTATAAAAATGTAGGGTTGTTCGGGTTGCCCAATTTCGGATTCCGGTCGGTTTGAATCGAATATTCGGGACCATTCAGGTTGATTAAAAACCATTAAATAACATAACATACAATATCAACTATCACATTAAAATTATAAGTTTGTGAAACAATGCATCATTACAATACAAGTAACAACTAACAAGTAACAAGTAGCAAAATAATAGAGTTTGTACTTTTACTTTGTACAACTCCAAGCACAGTTAATTAGTTATACAGTTAGTTGTTACGTAAATACTTATACATAATACAGTTTAAGAATAGACTTTGAGTAATCCAAAGTTCCAAAATAGTAAGTAGCAACAAAAAATTGAATTTTAATGGGGGCAGATCTTGAATATAGTTCCTTCTTCCAATCTTCCATAGTTCCATTACTCCATCATTCCATGTGTGTAGCAGACCAACGATAAAATACTCATTGAATATGTTCCTAGGTACATCACAAGTTAAAAAATTACTAGAAATGTAGCGTTTAGGTTTCAGATTTAGATTCACTTCAAAAAATTTGTATGACAGGATGAATACTAAATGCAATCAGGTTTGGCTCAGGTTTACCTTCACTTCACAAAAAACGGGGGCATTAAAAACTATATAGAAATAGAATCAACATCAACTCATTTGTTTTTGCAACCTGGTAGAAGTGCAGAAGGGTAGCAGAGTAGCAGCTTTCATCATTGCCAGAAATAAGTAAACTATTGATCTACCATCAATTTCATTACTTGGTAGAAATGGGGGCATAACAAAGTACATAGAATGATAGAAATAGAACCAACACAAGCTACTTAGCTACCATCAATTTCATTACTTGGTGAAATGTATCATCATTTCCAGAAATATGGAAATAGAATCATTTCATTTCATTAATTGGTAGTAGTAGGGGCATAGTTTGGCTCAGATTTGCATTCACTTCACTATTAATGGGGGCATTGAAACTATATAGAAATAGAATCAACACCAGCTACCATTAATTTCATTACTTGGTGGAAGCTATCATCATTGCCATAAATATGGAACACTTGAACAAATAGTATACATATACAATGTCATATTAAAGTATTTCCAGCAAAGTGAAAGTAGCAGGGGCATAGTTTGGCTCAGATTTGCATTCACTTCACTATTAATGGGGGCATTGAAACTATATAGAAATAGAATCAACACCAGCTACCATTAATTTCATTGCATGGTGGAAGCTATCATCATTGCCATAAATATGGAACACTGGAACAAATAGTATACACTGAAACAACATTACCATGTCTTGTTGTCACACACACATTGCCAGTGAATCAGCAACACTTCCAATTGCCATCAAAGCAGCAGGGTTATGCATTTACAGCCAGAACATTGACAGAATCATAGCATTTTATTAGTGAAGTAACAAATTACATATATAAAAGATAAAGTATAAGTTTTACTGCTATCTGATCAGAGGAGGTTGAGAGCCAGAGGCATGTATGGTATCCATACATTCAACTTCCATTATGATAAGTCATATACTCATATGAATATATAGTTCAAAAACTCTATGCAAGTAACACAGTGAACAACATCATACATTCACAAATGACAATAAAGTCTGAAACAATCAGCAAGCTGATCTACAAAAGGATATAAGCAGTAGGCCTATTCACTTCTCTACAGACTTAGAAGATATCAGTTCACTCTAACTACTCGTTTGAGTGTTGGAGTAGAAAAAGGTAACTTCAATCATCATGTTTACTCAGCAAATTGTATTCACAAATCATTAGAATTCAGAAAATATGTGTATGAAAGTATGAAAGCATCATAATTCTGATGTGTACACATTACAATTTACTCATATATCAGAGACATGCAACTAGGAATCAAAATCTCTGAATCAAAGGCATCACTACTCACTTAATGCAGCTTCCACCCATGAATATGAACATATGAGAGAAATATGCAGCTTCCACCCATAAACTCATTAAACTGTGAATCACATATTCACAAGCATCATATATAGTTCACAACTAATGCATATCAATATCTCAGAAACACATGGGCATGAGACATCATCAAGGCATCACATATTCAGAGGCCATCTATATCAAAAATTCAAAATATCAGAATCATAGACTCACAGGCATAACAGATTAACATGTTGTTCATACAAAGGGTTTTACAGGTCGGATCTAGGGTTTAATGCTTCCACCAAACACATTTAATGATAAAATAGGTAAGTCATATACAAAAATGATAACACATCACAATTAGGGACCAGGCTTCCGCCAAAGGCCATTTCAAAGCCAATATTAGAGATCGGAACATGCAATAAATTGTTTATCCAAGCAAACAAAGCATACAATTTCAGTATTTAACGATTATATACCTCACTACCTCAGTAAGACTTAAGATAATCGAACAAGTTGGAAGCTTCCACAAATCCACAAGACAAGCCCACAATAGCGATCTAGATACTGCTTCGTAACACTGGTAGGCTATGATTGGCTTCCACCAAGGCAGAGAGGCACAAACGTACAAACTACAGGTGGATGGAAGAGAGAGAGTAGACAGGGATGACCGGAAACAACAGATGAGAGGATGGGTTAGAGAGAGGTCGGAGTAGAGGAGAGGGTCAGAGGGAGTTGCCGGTTGCGAGTGAAGAGTGAAGTGGTAGGGTTAGGGTTAGGGTTAAATGTTTAGTATATATACCTCGGGCTATTCGGGTTTTTCAGGAGGGACGGGTAGCCAATTTCTAAACCCTACCCATAACCCATTCCCTTAAATATTGGGCTGGGCATATTCGGTTCGGATTTTTGGGTTCGGTTCAACCGACCCAGGCGGGTAAATGAGGGTAAACCCGATCGGGTTTTAGGGTGGGTTCGGGTTATGCTCACCCCTAACTACATTTAAGAGAAAGGTGTCATCTTTTAATGAAACTTTGTTGGACTAATTTACCCTTTTAAAATCTTCAATTAAAAAATTACTCCCTTCCTATTCACCTTACTCTGATTGAATTTTTCTTATCTGATCTGTTTAAATTCGATCTAGTTTGGTCTGTTAGATGTTTGGTCTATATATATTTAAGGAATTGCTCTAAATAGGATTAAATCATGGTTAAAATTCCAAAATCGGACGGGGTTAGATCATGAATATTACTAATTAAAAGTGTTTGGACAAATATATGTCCTCTTTCAATAAATTCCAAAAATGAAACCCTCCGTATCATCTATTAGTAACTTTGGAATGGAATTATCAAATATGCCCCTCCTTAATAAATTAATACTCCGTATGCAATGAACTAATTCACATGCCGAGGTAATCAAGTTTCACTCTTATTCTTCGTTTCCACTTTTCCGGTGCAGATGTTTAGGCAGGCCAAAAAAATTGAACTTTATATACTTCCCTCCGATTAAATTTATTTGGTGACGTGCCATCAGTTAGAGTTACATGATCTGCCGGTTACAATTACCCGATTCATCAGTTACATGACTTGCCAGTTACAATTAGGCGATTCACCAGTTACTGTTACTCACTTACCCGACCTACATGCTACAATTAACCCATTTCACCAGTTACAATTACATGACTCGCCAGTTACAGTTACCCGTTCGCCAATTACTCGTGTCACTATAGTCACCGCTCATGTCACTGTAGCCACAGTTTGTGTCACTGTAGCCACCATCTGTATCACTGTAACCACCGTCGGTGTCACTGTAGCCACCGTCGACGTGTCACTGTAGTCACCGTCGGTGTCACTATAATCACCACCAGGCCTTCCACCGCCGGCCACCACCACTCTCCACCATCGCACGTACCCTATCGCCGCCACCGACCATCGCCGTCGACCACCATCTCATGTCGCCGGCGTTGGCCACCATCTTTGGCCACCAACACCGCTTAATTACCACCGCCATCCCACCGTCACTGACATCTAGGGGTGGGCAGAAATACCGGAAAACCGGTATACCGCAGTTATCGTACCGAAAAATACCGGAAAATACCGGAATGTTGGTATACCGTCATTTTCGGTATGGTATCATACCATACCGCTTTATTTCGGTACGGTAACGGTATATGTTTCTAAATACCGCGGTATACCGGTATAATACCGTACCGATTCCATATTCAACATTTATTTTATATTTTTTTTAAATATTGTAGAAGTCCACACAAATTTTCAAGCCCAAAATAAAATTCAAGATGGTAATAAATACCAAAATACAAAAATTAAGGCAGCTGATTCCTTCCCTTGTGACATTTTCTTTTTGTAAATGAGTCCTTTAATCATTATTTGTAATTTGTAAAAAAAATCCCATTCGGTACGGTACGGTAATACCGAAATTTTTCGGTATACCGAATCTTTGGTATGGTAAGGTATGAGTTTTTTGCCAAACCGATATTTTGGTATACCGAAACACGGTATACCGAAAGTCTCGGTACGGTATCGGTATAAGAATTTGTCATACCGCATTTTTGGTACGGTATACGGTATGGGTTGAAATTTTCGGTATACCTTACCGATCCAGCCCTACTGACATCTACCCCTGCCTTTCCCCATCCCCACACTCCAGCGCCAACACCTCAACCCCCAACCCCTGTTCCTATCCAGCCTCTGACCTGCCCCCATCAAACCTCCCAGTTCATGCTCCGACTAGCCCAACTCAGCCCCCGATCCACAGCTCTGCATCTCGATGTAGATCCGATCAACCCAGCCACGACCTGCCCGCCATTTTACCGCTCAAGCCTGAAGCCCCAACATCTACCGCCAAACTGTCGCATCAAGTCGTCACCCCTATAGCCAAAGTGCCAAACTCTAGCCCCATGTCCTTGTAGCCGTCTTCACAGAGGTTTGTTCGTCGCTATCGATCTCGGTCAGAGTAAGGTGAAGAACAAAAGTACAGATCTGGAAAATTGGCATGTTGGTTGCAACGAGGACACCAGCGGCTGGTTGCGACGAGGACACCGACGACGACGAGCCTATCTGTGACGAAGACATCGACGATGTGCTTTGCCTGGGATGAAGTCATCGTTGGTCGTCTCCTTCACTGGCACCTCTCTGGTAGATCTGTATCGTAGAAGAGGGGTAGCTAAACACTCCCAGCAAAGTCCGAGTCGCAGCCTCACAGGGCATAGCAAGCGTAAGTTTGCCGTCGAATTAAGTGATATTTTTTGGAAAAACACAAACCGGTTATATCTTCTTCTTCTTCTTCTTCTTCTTCTTCTTCTTCTTCTTCTTCTTCTTCTTCTTCTTCTTCTTCTTCTTCTTCTTCTTCTTCTTCTTCTTCTTCTTCTTCTTCTTCTTCTTCTTCTTCTTCTTCTTCTTCTTCTTCTTCTTCTTCTTCTTCTTCTTCTTCTTCTTCTTCTTCTTCTTCTTCTTCTTCTTCCTCCTTCTCCTCATCTTCTCATCTTCTTCGAGGTCCTCTGTATTTTAATTTTTTCAATTTTTTTGGTGATCAAATATATCTGGATTTGAATTTTAATTTATTTAGCAATTTTGATCCTCAAAATGCAGATTTCCAAAAATGCCACCTTTTCAATCTTAGAATGTCAAAATTATTGGTTATTTCAAGAAAATGCCAATTTTATTTGGAATTTTGACATAATAATGACATTTTCGTATAAAAAGTTGACATTTTCTACTGTAAAAATATATAAATTTTAGATGAAAATAAAGGTATTATTTTCAGGAGGATGGCGACCGGTGATGACGGTGGTATGGATGAATGGTGGCGACAACTGTGGTTCCAGAAGGATGGTTGCCGCATTGCAATGGTTCCTGGAGTATTACTACCGCATCGCTAGAGTCTGCGATATGGAAACCTGGAGTTTTCTATTAAGGGCTAATTTCATCAAACTACTATATTTTAGTCCTAAAAACGTCCAACAAAAACATGGTACTCCTAGTTTTACATTTTCTCATTGTTTTAGTCTCATTTAATTGTCGAGTATTGGTCTGATTTTTTTAAGAGTCTGATTTAGTTTGTTATAGTCGAGTTTGGGATTGAAATCTTTTCAAGCAAAAACATCCTCAATCGAATAGTTTGGCGCCATGCATGTGACAATAAATTGTTTTTATGAAATTTTATAACTTATTCATTTATGTTATTTTTTAACAGGATGAATTCATTAATATTAAATATAACAAATTAATATGAAAGCGGAGAGTATACTCTTTAAGATAATATATTAAGATCCTTCCGACATTGTATCAGATATAATTGTAAAAATCTTATAGGAATATTATGACAGTGTTACAAATATTTATAGTGGTTGTTTGATGGTAGAAAAAATTTGTAATCTTAAATATATTTGAACACTTGTATTAATTAATAGGAAAAATATTCCTAAACAAGAGTAAAAATGTTCTGGAATTTCAAAATAGGATTATCATGTTTTCATTCCTGAAATAGGAGTAATTTCTGTCATGTTTTGATAGAATCAAACTTTAAACATGACAATAGTATTTTCAAACGTAGCAGTCCTTATTTCTATTTAAGGAATAAAAATATGACAACCCTATTTTATAATTCTCTTTTACTCACATTTTCGAGAATTCTCTCAAGTGAATGATAGATACAAAATGAAACAAAAAACATTTGATCATAAGAAAATGAATGGATTTTTTTTAATATGAATGGGATGTTATGAATTCATTTTGATGAAAAATACTTTTTTTAAAGGAGAACGCTTAACTATTAAGGAGTATTAACAAAATTCCAAAACACTGAAAATCTGACCACAATAAAAAAACTCTCTCCACTTAATTCCCACAAAATCAAAGGGTCCCTTATTCTCTAACTGTGCGTAAAAGAGGCCACCTTAAGAAAAGCAACACTCTTTATTGGACATGCGAGAGATTCGAAGAAACAGACCACCTTAGAAGCCAAAATACTTTCGTCCAGGACAACAAAACAGTGTACGCTCTAACAGAAATTAAAACTTGAAAGAAAATTAGAACACAAAATCGCAGGTGACCAAATTCACAAATGTTATGTTATTCTTTTAAATAACGTTTAAATAACGTTGGCCTTGTGGACGTAGGTGTTTTATGTTCTGGACGCTATTTTTTACTCCGTAATTTGAATGTTCTTGGTTCAGAAATGTGTTTGAAATTTTACAGTAGTCTGGTGACCATCTTTTTTGCCCAGTGTTTGTATCCACTCATAGTTCAATGATAGGGACGTCTTTAGTATTTCAGAGGCCCTAAATAGAAAAATATTTACTATGCATAAATCATATGAAAAAGAAGAAAAATGAGATAGATTGAATAAAAAACATCATATGAAAAAAGCATATTCAAAGTGGGTGCAACTCCTCTCCATTTCTTTCTCTCCATTTTCCCTACATTTCCTTTTTACTTCCTATCTATCTCTACCTTTTTCTCTATCTTATTCAGCAACATACTCCACCCTTCATTTTCTCCTCTCTATCTCTCTCATAATGGAACTCTCCGATTAATGGAGAGGATCCAAATTCATTCAAACTTTCAAAGTGTATCATGTTTTTAATATTCAAAATGATAAGCTTCTAAATGCAAACATATGTAAAATACAATGCAAACTTATACATGCATCCTTCTATTGGCCTAATAACATCACTCCCATCAAGACTACCACAAACTTCGTACTTTTTTATAATATAGCTAAACCACTTAATCGTAAATAGTTGTTTATCCGCTTCAGCTTTGAAAAGCTTTTTTACGCAGCAGCTCCCACTCATAATGAAATTGGATTCCGTAATTGAGAGAACACGCATGAAAAATGTTAATTGCATGATTAACTGATACTTCAAATGATGATTGAGACGTATTTAAATTTTGAATTCACGGGTAAGACACCCCATAATTAAGCCATGACGAGAGATTAAATGCGGTAAATATGCTATGAGCAAGGTCCTCCTCAACAGAGTAGGAAAGACAAATAAATTGAATGTAAATTGAACTTTAATTGCTGACAAATACTCCTCCGTTTCTCAAAGATCTTTACACTTAGATCTCACAAATATTAAGGAGTTTGACACTGTTTAGCATTGTTTGACACTGTTTGACATTGTTTGACACTGTTTGGCACTGTTTTGTGTATATTTGTAAGGCAAATAAGAAGTGTAAAGATAATTGTGGTACTGCCAAAAATGGAAAGTGTAAAGATCTTTGAGAACCGGAGAGAGTACAAAATACTCCTTCCGTCTCATTAGAAGGTTCTCGTCCACTAGTCTCATGATCAACTTAAATCATTTTTAATCTTTTACTTTATAAATCAATTTTTTACCAAATTTACTTTTTTATAAGCCTTTGTAGCGGTTTTAATGTAGTTTCTGAATATGTTAATTTTATTTACTAAAAATAATCAAAATGTGAACAGGGATTAAGTTGCTTTATCGTCAGTCAAACATCGTAAACCGTTCACGGGAACCTTCCAGCGGGACGGAGGGAGTATAATGATCACATTACAAATGAGGACCGGGAATTTAAGGAGCTCTTAGTCACTAACCACAAAACATGCAAATCACCATGCTTCTAATATTTTTAAGCTTGATATTTGCTTATTACATGGGTTTTTAATATGGCTTCTTACAATTACAATGAAGAAAAACAGTACGTAGAAAAGGAATGACCGAATGTTTGCAAGAAAAGAGACAAGAAACATAACAAACAAGCTCAGTCAGAAACGATTAAACAAAGCTTTCATTTGTTACATTTTTAATTTGCTTATTTTTTATGAAATGTTAACTATAGAAAAACAAGTAATAAAAACAAATGGAATATTTTAAAGAAAATAAACTACGGAGTAAGAATTAAAATACTACTCTGGATTTGACCAACAAACACTAACTAATGATCGATCAGATCAGAATATAGTTAAACAAATTAGACCAGACTTCGATCGTTGTAGAATACACATAGAACAAATATCTAAACATACAAGATCAGATCAAATCAAACCACAAATATTTAGTCCAATTAAAAACATCCCAACATATTTTAAAAGAATAAATTCCACTTTAGGTCCTACGAATTTAAGGTCAATTCCACATTTAGTCCATATCTTTCACTTTGTCCACATTTGATACATGACTATTGTGTTTTCGCCCATATATGATCCTTCCTGCATTGTTTCCGATGGTTAAAATCACCGGAAAAGGATCACGAACTGTTAAAAAACATTAGTCAAATATCACAAGTGGACAAAGTGAAAAATGTGGACTAAAAGTGGAATTGGCCCAAAACTGGTATCACCAAAAGTGGAATTAATTCTATTTTAAAATCTTACTCAATTTTACCCTGTGTCCAAATGCTATAAATACCTACCGGACATAGAAATTATCCAGGCTAACTAAACACATATCCTACAATTATTCTCTTCCAGTCTTGCTCCTAAGAGTAAATTGGCGACATTCAATACCTTTCTTCTTTTAATGACAATTTAAAACTTGTCTAATGACTCTAATGTAGATTAATACTTCTGAAGTTTACTTGTGCATGCCAATTTAAAACTATATTCATACTAATATCCATTATAGAACTTATTGTTTCTTAATCCCATTACATTTGATCCATCTTTTCAACCATTAATGTAATGTTTAAACTTTTAGGTAGTTGAAAGAAAAGAATGGAGGTGGAGCAGGAGATGGAGTGGAAGTTGGCACAGGAGATTGTGATAAGTGTAGACCTTGTCGCGGCAGCCAAACAACAACCTGATTTTCTTGCGGCCGTTGACCGGAACCGCTGGCTGTATGAAGGTCCTGCTCTTCTTAAGGCAATCTATAGGTATGTATACTGATAATAGTCATCAAATGGGTTATTCATTGGGGCTAAGAACTTTTCTTTGGCCTTTTTTGTTGATTCAACTTGTCCATTTTCAGGTACTATAAATGTTGGCTTCCATTGGTGGCAAAACATTCTACCTCACCCTTCTTTGAAGGGCCTCTGGTTGTCCCTCTTGACTGTGAATGGGTCTGGCACTGTCACAGGCTCAACCCTGTACGTTTCAAAAAATAATGTTTTCTATCTTTACAATTCTAATTTCTAGCGAAAAATAATTCATTAGGTGACCTCATTAATCATTTAATTTCTTTAACGTGAAAGAATATTTCATGGTCATCAATGCTTAAACTTAGTCTTGACATTTCACTTTACTATGAAGTGATAATGATGGTATTTCATATGAAATCAAGAGCATTGTAGTTACATTTTTGTTGATGTGTTACGTGTTTAGCAAAGACAAACCTTGATTAGTAATATTGTGTCGGGGGCGTAGCTCAACTGGTGGGAAGAGGGTGTCGGTGACCGAGGTTTGACTTCAAACATAAACTTGGACTGAAACCCTACTCTCTCCCGGGTACCCTGAGGGAGGGGTGTCATCCTTTTTTATCTGTAATATTTTTCGTCTTTTATGTTTGCAGGTTCAGTACAACTATGACTGCAAGCAACTATATGGAAAAATCATTGACAACCATAATGTTACATCTTCAACTACAGGAACATGTAAAGGGAAAACAGAACAAGTATGGAAGCAATTAAACCCAAGCGAGCCATATGAGTTGGACTTAGCAAGTGCTCTTTCGGATGGTCAGCATTCAACAATGCCTGATAAGCTCATAAACTGCAGCAGCAACTATGACTTGGTTTCAGCAGTTAAAAGGCAAAGTTCATTTTTCTACCAGGTAGGTAGTTAGTTATGGGATACTAAAATTTTGGCTGTGGATAAATTCTCGACACAGGATAATTTAACAATCTTTTTACAGGTATCACGACCTCACATGAGCAGTGACCTGTATCTCGAAGGGGCAGTGGCCAGATACAAGGGATTCCTGCATTTAATCAAAAGAAACAAAGAAAGATCCATTAGATGCTTCTGTGTTCCAACTTACGACATTGACCTGATATGGCACACTCATCAATTACACCCCGTTTCTTACTGCGAAGACCTTGTGGAACTCATTGGCATGGTTTTAGAGCACGATGATACTGATTTGGACAGGACAAAGGGGAATAAACTGGATACAGGCTTCTCTAACACCATCAAGCATTGGGAAGAAACGTACGGGCGTAGGTATTGGAGAGCAGGCACAATGTACCGAGGTGATGCACCATTACCTCTTCCTGTTTCTCATAATGAGTCTCCTCCCAGCACTACTGTCACCAAGAAAGTAGTTTTCCCCCACAAGAAGCATCACACACAATTGCATCTTCCTGAAAAGAAGGTTCTTGAGGTAGTTTATTCTTCTCTTCCCCATTTTGTTTCTTTTGTTCAGATAAAATGCTTGTGTATGCAATTTTTAAAAAGAAGAGATACTTCAATACCTCAGTAAAGTATCGAACTATAAGATCTTAGATTACTCCTATTATAAAAAGTAAGCCCAATCTGTAGCCATTGTGTAAGATGAAAGTTTAATCTTACATTGAATATTGAAAGAAATATGAAACTTGTGAAATATCTTAAACTACAATATAAATTGAAACTCCAAATCTTAGGAATATATCAAAGTTTTGTAGGCATGATGTGGCCCTTATGAGAATTTGCACGATGATTGTGAGTGGTATGTGCCTTTACAAGAAAATAGCAAGCCATTTGGTTACCCCATTTAGCAGGTTGACTTTTTAAAATGGGATCTCAAATTCTCAATATTAATGTGTTATAAATGTCAATTAAACTAAAATGAGCAACTACTTCCATTAAACTCGCAAAGAGCACACCAATTTCACGCTATTTGCTCTAATGAGCCACTAACAATATGTGCCCATGTTAAGCAATCTCATACTAGGTTAAATACGCAGAAAAGACCTCCCACTACTCTTCTTATAAGATTCATTTTTTAGGATGAAACTCTAATATAGTAATATCTTAACATGCAATTGTATTTTTTCTCGTTTAATGTGTTTGATGTGGGGAGGATTTAACATACAATTGTATTTTTTTATCTTTTATACCTTGCAGGTAATGTTGGAGTTTTTGGGTTTGAAAAATTTACCAGAGCAGCATACAGGGAGTCTCTTTGTCTCATTCAGTAAACAACAGTCTGATGGAATCTGCAGTCCAAAGAGAAGACTTGGGATTCGGTCTGAGAGTGGCAAAAAGCAGGTTGCTTTCTTTCAATGTGAAGCTAGTGGGAATCTGTTCTTCGAACTTATGAGCCAAGCCAAAACTATGGGTTCTGTTTCTGTCTCTCTGGAAGAGTTGCTATCCCCAACCGCTAATCTCTCTATGGAGAAATGGCTCGAATTGATTCCACATTCTAAGATAGAAATGTCAAAGCCGGTCTTTTTGAGGGTTGCAATCTCAGTTACAACACCGACTTCTGCACCATATGTTCTTCGCATGGTTCGTTCTTCGAATGGTTCTTCCCTTTTCCCTCTCCATCTGAAGGATAAAGACTGGACACGAATCATAGATGAAGACGGTGATGAGATCATGAGCCTGCAAATGAGGTACTTGTGCATGTTGAGTTTCAACAATTAATTAATTTTCCACTAATGCCAATCTAGAACCATGACTGCACTTCAGTTAGAACCTGAGTTTACCTTGTCGGTTGAATCATTTAGCAGATATATCAATATCATAATATGCACATCGTCAGAGGTTAACAAATATAACAATGCAAACCAACTTACATGCTTTAGGGAAAATTTTCTATCAAGTTGACATTTTAAGAAGGAATTCCAAATCATAATCTCATACGCAATTCTAATTTCTATTTGATATTCTGCCATGCTTTGATTGGTGGGAATAGTGTTCTCATAAAATCGTACGGTTTTACTTCATATGATTTTATTACAGGGATTTCCATGAATGCAATGGGAAGCCAGATTATATTTTAAGGCAAGAAGTCATTGCTGTAACAAAATCTGGTGAAACACGAACTCTTGCTGAATTCAGAGGGACAGAATGGTCACTGATAGATGCTGAGTTGTCCATTTGTTTTCAACAAAACAGAGATGGTGATGATGATGGTCACCTTTTCAAGTTGACTGGTCCGCAAACTGTGAGTATTTGTGCTGCATTTTTTAAGCTATTTGTCTTTTCTTCTTTTACAATTCATTTGTCTATCTTGTACTCTAAAGTGTGCTAGATTTATTAAAAAAAAATCTATTGAAAGTCTATATTGTTGAAACAGGTTAAGTATTTCCCTGGTCGGAAGCTGGACTACCAACCTAGGTATCATGAGAAGCAAAGAAGCGAAAATGAATTTCTGACTGCAGTAGAGTATTCAGTAGAAAACCCATATGGCAAGGCAGTGGGAATGCTTGACTTGAAATTTGGTGTAATCCATGTATACATATTGCTTGTTTCATTTTTTGTTGTGAGGTTGATGTTTTAGTTATTTTAGCTTCACTTATGATTGCTTAATTTTGACACATTATCAGGTGAAACAGGAGTGGTTAGTTTTACCAGGAGCAGTCATCGCTTTTATACTTTGTGACATTTTGGGGAAGAAAGGTTATGGTATCTTTTCAAACCAAGATGTTTTGTATGATGTGAAAAGCAATAAAATAGTGTGTGTGGACGGTGGTGTGAAAATTGGTGGTTGTGGCGGTGGTTGTGGCGGTGGAGGCTGTGGCAGTGGCAGTGGCGGAGGATGTGGCGGTGGTGGAGGTTGTGGTAGTGGTGGAGGCTGTGGCGGTGGTGGAGGCTGTGGTGGTGGTGGAGGTTGTGGTGGTGGAGGTGGTTGTGGTGATGGTGACATGAAAAGCAGTGGCTGTGGCGGCGGTTGCGGTGGTGGTGGTAGATGTTGTGGTGGTGGCCACTATGGCAGCGGCGGTGGCTCTGGTGAAAATGTCAATGGATTGTAGTTGAAACATGAAACTTATGGTAGATATAGTTGCGGTACTGGTGGCACTGGTGGCCGTTGCGGGGTTGATGGTTAAGGGGGGAACTGCCTAAACAACCAAGTATTGCAGTGGTGCTTGTAAGCAAACCAATAAAAGCCTACAATATGCTACATACATGGCTATATATAATTTATGTATGAAAATAATAAAGCTTCTAAATCTATGTATGCCTAGTAACTATACATCACAAGAATAAACCGAAATGTAAAGATGTAAAGTGCTCATATACAAGTATGTGATTTTCCTTTATCTTCATTGTTTCTTTGTCTGCTCTTTGATGTCACAAAGCCATTTCAATCACACCTCTCCTAACTTTATGTATTTGTTAACGCTCTGTCCATTTTCTTCTTTTACTACTTATATGCTCATCCGTAATGTTAGCGGTAGAATATGATTTTTACAGAACACCAATCCTGATAATTACAGAAAAAAGTAAACTGTCACTCATTGAATATTGTACTCATTGAATATTGTACACAAAACAAACACCTTTAATTCTTTAATTAATTAACAAAGAATATGAATCACGGGTTTCCACAAACTGAAAAGGCAAAAATAATAAACCAATAATATAAATACCCACTAGTTGTATCTACTTACACAGTACCCTCTCATGGAGAAAACACCTGGAAAACAGTAAAATGGTTGAGAACCTAATATAGAATGATTATAGAAATTAGAAACCTTTAGCCTATAGGTTGATCCACATTGATCGGGTGATTCAGCATTTCCCCAGTAGACTGATTGTGCTCCAGAACAGAAACAGATGGCATCCTCGGGAAAACATTGTAAATCGGGGTTTCCCGGTTTTGACCACCGCCGGCCACCACACTGAACCGCCCTAGGTTCCCGGTGTGATACCCTTCGGCCAGTACGGGCAAACCATATACCATTTTCAACCCATTCGGATACACTACACCACTGGTCACGTGGGGTTCGGGAAACCCTTGTAGGTGTGGTGGGAGATGACTCTGCAGGACCATCAGCTTGTTTGTACCCGATCCATAGTTCCCGGGTACAGCACCATCTTTTTCCTTTTGGGTTTTCGGGGCTAGACTCTCTGGTGCAGACATTCCAGGGATTTGCAATTGGAGAAGGTCTTGCTTAGTTGGCGTGATACTGGGCTGGTAATCCTTATCAAATCCGAACAGGAAATCCGGGTTCAGCGGGGGCTCCGATTCCGGTTTCACATGGCGATTCGGGTTGAACAGGAAGAGCCTCAGACGGGCAGGCTTGGTGGAAACCCTGTGCATGCGTTCGTACTCAACCATCATCTGCTCCACGTCATCGTCGTCGATCAAGGAGACCAGAGCATCGAGATCCTCTCCGGGCAACTGATACTTCATGCATAGCTCTCCATTATCGCCGCAATTGCAGAGAGCGCTCAGCTTCGAGAAAATCTCTGAAAACCTGATTTTGCGATCGACGGTCAGAATTTTGGTGTCGCCGCCAACGTAGGCAAGCTGATTGTCCCGCTGCCGCTGCTGAATCTTGCCGCCGTAACTGCACATCAGCTTCACTTTACACTTAGAAGCTTCACCATCGCCGCGGCCGCCGCAATTGCTGCTCCGGTGGTTCTCCATCCGCGACCCTAACACGAGCCTAAACAGAGAATTTGCAAAAGCCCAATTCACTTATAACTCGCGATGTCTCAATCCGTTTCTGTTGAGATTTCGTATTTTGAAATTTGACCTTTTTCGACGACTCTTAGGCGGTTAATTCTCAAGTACTGTAGAGAGCACCGCAAGTAATATAGTGCCTGCGGATGAGTAAATTGGGGTCGTCGATCTCAGTAGAGATGGCGTGTAAGGTCCATAATTTCAGTTTTTGCGCGTATGTGGGGGCGGATTGCTAAAATATGAGGAGAAACGCTTCCTCCATAACGCTCTTCTTAATAATAATAGAAATAATAATACGGAGTAATATCTTAATCTTAATATAATAATAAGATATTTTTTCTAAAATATTATTATGAGAAAGCTTACGGATAATAATCGAGCAAAGTTATTATATAAATATTTATAGTCACTATCGCATAAACTTTGAATATTATTATAATCACTAAAATTTTATAAATCGCATTTTTATCTAATATTCTTATTTTTATCATCAATTACAAATTAGTTCTAATAATAATAGTGTTCTTCCTCAAGAAAAGAAATTTCTCCAAAATGATATACTCAATTCACAAATATAGACTCTTTTCTCGATATAGAGTTCTTTATTCCTAATAATAAAACAAAATGAATTACAAATTGAAAACTAAATGAGATTCCTTTAATTAAATTAATAGTGATAGTGCGGCTTTAAAAAACACTTTTTAAAGTAATTGGAAAAAGTGATTGACAGTAAAAGTTGGTAGTAAGCGGACGGCTAGGTCATCCTAGATTTTTTGGTGCGGCAGTTTACTTCGTCCGCAGGGTTTCATTTGCAGCAGAGGTTCGTCTGTAGCAGGGATCCATTTCGCAGTAGGATTCGTCCGCATGTTGACAATAGAGATTTGGAGCCGCAGGATTCGTCCGTAATGCTACTTCGCAGCAATACTGTTCGTCTGTTCCAACACAGCGAAGCTTTCTCTCGGCGAGATGGAGTCCAATAGATCTTATGTGAGGCAGTGATCAAGCAGGGTGCCGTTTCGACTGCAACACGCTGCAGGTCCCCACGCATTACGCGGCCGTGGATCTGTGTCGGCTAGGGTTGCGAGACCCAATTTTCTGATGCTTTGTGTGTCTATTTTGGCTTTGATAGTGACTGAAATGGGAGCTGCACCAGCTGTGCTTGATCCGGGTGGAACGCCGGGGGTATGAGTCCCGGTTAAAGGGGGCGAATTTGGGCTCCAATTGGATTTTGGGGGATCAACGCGGTTGTTTTGGCCGCCTCAAGTGGTGGAGGAAGAAGATGGTATGTGGATGATTTGTCCCCCTCCTGAACCGCCGCCACAAAGGAATTGCATGACTAGGGTCTGGAAGACAACGCTTGGAGAATGGATTCCGCGGTTCCACCAGCTATAGTTTATTTATTTTTGCTATGTTCTGTTTACTAATCTTTACTTTGTTGTTATTAGGTCAAATAATAAGGGTAGTAGTTTCTTAGATTGGTTTACCTTAGTTGCTAGATTTCTGTTGAGAGGCAATCAGGCTGACTCAGTCGCTAATAGCCTCAAAACTCTCACATTTTTAGTCTCGCTCTTTTTGGGGTGGACTACTCTATGTCTGATAAAGAAGTGAGGGGAGCGCTGGGCTTATGGTTATGTTTGTCTAGAGGGAGGTTAGTGTCGGGTGGTTACTTTATGTTTTGCAATTCTCCTGGTTGTACTGCGAGTTTTGAGTGGATATAATATGTCAGTTTTCCGTCAATTTTTTTAATAGTGATAGTATATTGTGAGTTTGTTATATTTTAAAATATTTTCTACTTTTTCCTTCAACGTTACTAAACTAGTACTCATTATTACCAATATGTTAATATATAACATAGTCCATGCTACTTACTGATCATATTTTGAGTTTGTGCATATGAATGTGAATTCATTATATTTATCCTTCAATTTCCAAGAAATCGACTAAAGCACAACAAAGAATTAGTATTGTAAGTATGACTATTTATGTAAAATATATCAGTAACCATTAATCAAGCAAAGCTCGAAACGTGCATTTATTCATATCATAATAGGAAAATATCTCATACGTAAATCATTTTCAAAACTGCCCGGTCAACGGAAGGTGCATCAATCTCGTGTTTTTGTTCCGAACTTGGGCGGTTTATAATTTGACATTGTCGACCGTTACATTCTATACTTGGTAAAAAAATCTCACATTTCAAACGTGAACGACTATTTCAACCTAAATAAAAGATTACATTAAAGCTCAAATCTTTATATATTCATTAAGAAATGATTTCTCACCTTAACTAAAGATTTGATAAGCCAATATATACCCTACAGCCCTTTACACTTGATACTAAGGGAGAAAACTTTGTGAGTACACATTGGAAACGCTTTTACACTTTCGTGCTTGATACTTTTACATTTGAATAGGTCTATCAGAATAAGGAGTGCAGTGCTGAGATTAAAAAAGTCAAGGGGTAGTTAAGCGAAGACGGCTGGTCATCATTCTCACATCTACCTTTATTAAAAGCTATTTCACTCATTATTGAGTCTTGCTTAATCTATTGTATACTTTTACATCTCTAGATTTAGATTGTAATTGTTTACATAGTATCTTAGAAAATATGGTACACTCCTGCTAGAAGTTCCTTCAAATCCACGAGAGTGAAGAAGGTTGTTGCGCTTCAACTTTCAGGACAAATCGATCCTAGTGTAATCAAGGTCAAGGACATCATACACAAATCCTCTTGTTTATAGGTCATGGAGAGTGATCCCTAAATCCATAAGTCGAGGAGATTTGTGTGTCATAATCCTCAAAGGTTAAAGAAGCATCCAAATCCTTAGGTTGAGTAAACGTTTAGGCAATGAAGTGCATAAAAATCCTTTGAGTAGAAATAGAATGTTTCATCTGTTAGCTTCTATGGCCCCAAAAGACTGTGTTTTCAAGAAAAAGATGATGCATCATAAAAAGAAATCCACACATGACATTGTCATATAGGACACTTGGATTTAAAAAGAATTGAGGTTACTTTCCAAGATAATAACTTATGTAGATTCTCTCAATTCTCCAAAGAATATATGCACAAGATGCTTAACTAACAAGCAACATAGAAGGTTTATATCAATCAAGAGCTTAGGGAGAACATCAAGGCAACTTCTGCTAGTGCACTCGGATACATGAGGTCCTATCATACCTGCTTCAAGCAATGGCAAGAGGTGCATATTAAGTTTTAGGGAAAACTGTCAATTACACCCTCGTACTATGGGCGAATCCTCAATTGTGTCCTCCTACTTCGAACACCTTCAATTGAATCCGCCAAGTCTCCAAAATCAATCAATTAGGTTTACATTACCGGTTGGTTCTCGGTTTGCCGGTAATTGACTCTAACTCCATACCCAGAAGATCTGAAGCTACAGCTCTTCTTCAATGGGCTGTTCATGGTCTTCTTTGATGGCATCAAATGGTCATGTCTATGAGTGTTGAATAGTACTGACGAAACTGAACGCGATAGGAACGGCTCCGGTCTGGATCTCTGCTTCCGGGCGGAGCAGAGGGCTTGCCGTTTGGGGCGGAACCGGTGGAATTGCTTCTAGATAGGAACTGCAGCGACCGGACTAGGCTGTTCCCTCGGCGGGTATCGCAGTTCAGACTGCTGCTCCGCCCGAATTGCCAAAAGTGCTTCGCCGGCGACGCGGGAGTTCCCGGCTCCAGCTCCGACTCAGGATTTGCAGACAAGAACTCCTTCAACATCTTCTTGTTGTCGTCGGTATTTGCGATCTTGGGCTGCCGGGATTTGGAATCTGCGAAGGGCGCGACGGGTTTCTTGATTTGAACGGGAAGGATCTTGCCGTCGGCGAAGAGCTCGTCCGCTGCTCCGCCCGGCTCCAGTGTGGTGTGTATGGCGGTTGAGGCCGGACTTTGGAGACGTGGCTATGGAGGCTGGGCGGCAGAGTTGGTGGCTAGAGAGGCCGGAGCAGCGGAATCCGTTCCAGAGGAACCGGCCAGGAAGAACGAAAGAAAGAGAAAAGAGAAGAGGAAGAGAAAAAGAAAAAAGAAAAGAGAAGAAAAAAAATTAAAAAAAAATCAAAAAACAGTAAAATACCTAGCTAGATCAATTGAAGGCAAGCAACCGGCAAACCGGGAACCAACCGGTAATGTAGACCTAATTGATTGATTTTGGAGACTTGACGGATTCAATTGAAGGTGTTCGAAGTAGGAGGACTCAATTGAGGATTCGCCCATAGTACGAGGGTGTAATTGACAGTTTTCCCTAAGTTTTATCAATGGTCTTACTCATAAGACTTTTGTTTATTTCTTACATGAAAAATCATAAGCTTCTGTTACATTGAAATATTATAAAGTTTCTTAGAAAAAGATCAAGGTTGGTGCATAATTTGTTTCGGGACTTATAGGGATACTAAGTTCACCTCAAATGAGGTTTGGAGAATTTGCGAGGGCATCAATAAGACAATCGACTGCATATTTTACTCCTCAACTGAACATTGCGGATAGGAAGAATAGGATCATCATGAATGTCGTTTGGTCCATTTAAATGAGAAGCAAGTTACAAAAATCATCTTGCCTAAAGCTATGAATAATGTGTGCATATTCATAACAGGTCTCCAACCATAGCCGTTGAAAATAAAACTCCAAAAGAGGCATGTAGTGGTGAAACACAAATGGTAGGGTACTTTCAAATATTTGGATGTATAGCACGCGTTCAAATACCTGATCAAATAAGAAGTAAGTTAGATGAAATGAGTAAAAAATGCATCGTTGATATAAAGCAGGAGTATGTCTTGGAGGAAGAGAAGTCGAGGCCCTTGTTGGTTTACCAAAGGCAGGGACGGGCTTGATCCCACCTTCATGGTTGGGGTCTTAGTTTTACTTATAATAAATTTTCTGTTATGTTTTCTAATTTGGGCATGTTTTTAGTAGAGTATTTAAATACCTAACTAGGGTTTACTTAATTTGGGCTCGATTAGGATTTCTATTTTAGGTCTGTTATTAGAAGGGTATCTAAACCCCTAATTAGGCTTCGGTCTTGTTTATCAGTTAATAAAATTGGATTTCGGCCTCTTAGCTCTGAGCAACAATTTATGTCGTTGATTATTACTTTTCTGTTCTCATCAATCTTCTTCGGAGTCAATGATGAGTCTAAAGCATGGAAGCTATATGACTCAATTCCAAAAAAAATCATTGTTATCAAGGGT